TTCTTTAAACTGCTCACATTTAATCAGCGGTAGTTTCTGTTTATTTTTACACAAGTATGTCACTTTTCGTAAATGTTTTTTATAAAACTTTAATGCAATTGAAAGAATTAACAACATTTTGCTTTTAAATCTTTTATTTGTTTCAAGCAATTTTTAACAAAAAAATTAAACTTATCCTATATAAAAAAACATTTAAAATTATACACTTGTTTGACACTGAAACTGGTACAGTAGACCGGAAATATAATTGTTTATGACGTCAGGTAATCCAATTATCCTATCAGTCGTGTGCCGGTATAGATTAAAGTAGGATTAGGGCAATTAATTCCTCGGTGTTGGGAGTGAGCTTGCTTTCAAAATTAACATTTACACGATTCGGGAGAGATTACTCCTAAATTCCTCCCAACATTTTGGGAGGAATATCGGAGTTTCTCCGAGTGACTCCGAAATTTTCCTTGGTTTAGGGTGTAGGAGAGCTGATCCGTTTGAATGGTACTGTAGTTTTCCCCACCTATTCACATATTTTCAAGCTGGAAAATGTGACCTATTCCAGTGGCATGTCCTATCACCTTGTATATAGGAAGTGTTCCCCCCGTGGCCCCCTGCCATCATTAACTCAACTTCTCAAAGGCATTTACAGCCATTAATGCTGCGTCTTGAGCACAATTCTGTACAACATTCGCGAGAGCGTTTTTTACAACAATAGCTGGATTAATTTTAGCAGTTAGTTGAACAGGTTACACTCTAAATACAAATGTATGTTTGTCTATAATTCACCGACAGGTACCGTCTAACCTTGGGAACGATTCTAATTTTTGGTTCAAAGAAGTTTAGAAAAATATGCCAGCTTCGTATTTGTTTCGTCTATAGGTTCATCATTTCGCCACTATCTAGAATCGATGTCTATATTTTTTTGCATGCATGTGATCGTATTGCGCATAATTTCATGGCTAATTCCCGGCACAGTTGTCGACAAGCAATTCTGCGGAACCGTTACTCTAAAGGTCTTTATCATGTTTTCTGATTTGTGCTGATGGTCCGCAAATTATCAATAAATTTCATAAGTACCTACAAGCTACAGTTCCACTGCAACAACAAGCCATGCTTGTTTAATTTAAAATCTTGTTTCTTGATAAGCTTCACTTATGAGTATAAGTCGAAATCATCAAACGCTTTGAAGATCAATAGTATTCTAGATGAACAATCAGATCCCGATCTAAAAAATTTGTTTTCCTATCGGCTATCGTCAATAAAATGTTTAGGGTTGGCGTCAGAAACAGAGGTAGGGTCAGGAAACCGGAAACTCACAATTTATTTATTTTGGCCTAAAACAGTAATATGGCATACTTATGAAGCTAAATGAAATGCCCCTTTTGACAAAGGGTCATTAAGGGAAAAACACATGATAAAACATCGTGATGTAGATATTTTTGAGACATCAAATTTTCAAGTTTAAAATTGTGATATCTCATAATTTATTTCTTAAGATATAAAGAACGATTTTGAATGGTAAATACAAAGGGAATTATTCAAAGCATCATAAAAATTAAAATGTTCATCTATGGTAAGGGAGGCAACTCTAATATTTTGTAACGACTTGTCTGGGTGTGAAAGTATTGATTGTTAATGATTCACTGTCCGCCTGCTTAATAAAACTGGTTAATATCGCTTCTTAATGGATTCAAGGATTCCGTAGATGTATTTGTCTGAATGTCTTAATAATCAATAACATTAATCAAGCCAGAAAACCATTTTAATCCATTTACATCCTTTGACACTGTGGCAAATGTCACGGAAGTGAACCCGGTTTTCTTCATTTGAAACAACAGATAATTTGACTTGAAGAATACCAAAACTTTATGAGTCATAAGAAAGATTGGGTTTTTAGTTTATGTGTTAACTGTCAAGATAACACATGCTACAATATTGATAAAAATTGTTTTGTTTTCCTCTTACCCATTTCAATCTGTAGTTTAGCCGCTTTAATATCCACGCATGCTTACAGATGAATGTCCAACTTCCGCCAACTGAAGCGTGACAGGTACTTTCACTTTCGATTTGACCTTAAACACGTGTTTACATGTAAACACTCTTTATCGGATTTTTTTCAATCTGTTTTCTGACATCTTTTTTACGTTCGGATTTGGAGAGTGAATGGGTCTTGTGATCTGATCCATCGCAGAAGTGGGTTAATTCATGATAATAAATATACTGCTTATTTGTATTTGAATTTCCAATAACATTTTCCAAAAAAAATGTATTCAATCAATTTTATTTTTAGAAAATGTTACTCGAAATTGACGGGGAATATTCTGATATATCTACCACCTTCAATTAGTAATCAATGGTAAGAAGGACGTAGTCTTGTTAAACTTTTTTAGACTGATGTGTCATTTTGTTTATTTTCTTTGGTTACATCTTCTGACATCAGACTCGGACTTCTCTTGAACTGAATTTTAATGTGCGTATTGTTATGCGTTTACTTTTCTACATTGGCTAGAGGTATAGGGGGAGGGTTGAGATCTCATAAACATGTTTAACCCCGCCGCATTTTTGCGCCTGTCCCAAGTCAGGAGCCTCTAGCCTTTGTCAGTCTTGTATTATTTTTAATTTTAGTTTCTTGTGTACAATTTGGAGTTTAGTATGGCGTTCATTATCACTGAACTAGTATATATATTTGTTTAGGGGCCAGCTGAAGGACGCCTCCGGGTGCGGGAATTTCTCGCTGCATTGAAGACCTGTTGGTGACCTTCTGCTGTTGTCTGTTCTATGGTCGGGTTGTTGTCTCTTTGACACATTCCCCATTTCCATTCTCAATTTTATTGTCTTAAGCTCAAGATCGTTAACCAAAGTAAAACATTTTTTTCAGGTAATTAGTCAGGATATCTAAATTATACACATACTTTCAGTTTATTATCAGAAAACTTTATTTTTACACTTACTAATTTGAAGCTTTTATTAATAGGGAAATGATAAAAATATAACAGCATTCCTTTGGCTATGTCAGGGACTTTCTATACTGTTAGTATAGACTGTCCCTGGCTATGTTAAAGTATTATGGAAAATTGCCACGTAGCTGCAATGTTGATTGACGTTTCGTGGACTTAAGAATGAAATGGCAAAATTTAAGTGAAGTGTCTCAAAATCTTGACATAAAATTAATATCACTATGGTTTTTAAACTTCATGTATATGTTGTAATTCATTAAGAAGTGCAAAATGGTGTCTTTTCCACACTCTGTCGGAAATATCTATACAATATGATTTTTGTCGATCCATACTATGCTGGACTATTGTTGATTTATTTTTTATTATAATAAAAACAAATGGACTTGTGGTAAGCATGTTATTCTTTTTTAAAAAGGGAATATTACCCAAAGGTTTTCCAAGTTTTACCAATATAATAGCAATTCCTTTGTCTATACTGCAATATAGTGGAAATCTTACCCAAGTAAGTTGACGTGTTATGGACTCCTAGAATGATATGGCCAAATTTTAAGTGAAGCTCCTCACAATATAACTCACGCAAAGAAAACCTTGTTGAATTTACTAGGTAAACAATTAAACTAACAGTCGGTGTACTTACATGTCGTTCTAGTAAATCTTACTCGGCAGAAAGTAAATTTACTAGACTGATGATGACTAGTAAATTAACTAGAAAGTGCAATCTAATTTAAATATAGAACTCGGATTTCGTTATACTTCATCGTATGAAGTAACGAAATCCGAGTTCTAATTTTCAATTAGACTGGAAAGTCTGGTAACCATAACAAGAAAAAACAAAATTACTAGTTAGATTTCTCAGTTGCTAGATAAACTAGTTTACAACTACTAGTTATTTTTTCAGTGTCCGTAATAAATTTTATCAAAGATGTATCTTCTCTCTGTATTTAGAAAAACATTTTGTTAATGGGAGTTGAATGTACTCAAATATACTCCCATATACAGCAAAATAACTTTGATAGTATTAGTGTTTTTTTTTATATGTATGGATTTAGTACCATAACAGATATTTGTATATATTTAAGATTTGGTAAGTTTAATCACAGCCATTGAGAGGGGATAGACTGAGTTGCATTTTGTGATCAACCAGTGAACTACTACATTCATTCACAATATTTTTTATCTTATAAAGTAACCATTCACAGTTAAACTCTTCAGATAGGAAGTTTGCAAAACAAAATATACGATACAGTTTCTCGTGTTTTACCAAAAATTAATCTTTTTAAAAACTATTGTAGTGTTTAAAACCATTTAATCCACCTTGTATTAACACGTCGACTACAGAAGTTCGACGTAGACATTAAAACATTCAACAATTATTCTGTAAAAATTGAGTAATACGGTTTAACTTACAATATGATTTCCTATCAAAACTTAAGACCCATACAAAAGTTATGCTTGGCAGGCATATAGAAACTTTATCTTGATAGGATATGTTGAAAGCAACTTAGTTAAAGCTATACCCCTACATGCCTACACCCTTTTCCTTTTCCTTTTGAGTAAAAATTAAAGTACTGACGTACTGTTTACGAACGAACCCAATTTCTGATGATTGGCAAATAAATCATACAGATTTCTATCACCTTTGCAACTACTTGCTTTCTCAAGTCAACTAGAAGAAACTTGCCGTTGATTTATCAAGCCAACTGTCAAACATTTCAGCCACATTTAAAACAATAATTGCATACTAGTATTTAACATTTAATCAATTGGCTAGGTTCTATGGGCACAGAGGGTTGAAAAGGACAACTGTTATTTTTTTAATGTGTTTGCACTGTCTGAAGACTGGATAATGCATTTAATGAATATTTGTAGTTCGGTCAGACACCCTTCCTCAATACGAGACTGGAGAAGTTTAAGTGACTATAATTCTTTACGCACGTGACCATTGTTTCTGTAAACAGAATGCGTTGATTGACCCTATATTCCTTAAACTGGACAGCGCAGACCTTTCTTATTTTGAACATTATCTTTTTTGTTCTTTGATTAGGCTTAGAGGTATAGGGGGAGGGTTGAGATCTCACAAAACATGTTTAACCCCGCCGCATGTTTGCGCCTGTCCCAAGTCAGGAGCCTCTGGCCTTTGTTAGTCTTGTATGTTTTTTAATTTTAGTTCATTTATATGTTTTGGAGTTTAGTATGACGTCCATTTTCACTGAACTAGTACACATTTTTATTTAGGGGCCAGCTGAGGACCACCTTCGGGTGCGGGATTTTCTCGCTGCGTTGAAGACCCAGCTGTTATCTGCTCTTTGGCCGGGTTGTTGTCTCTTTGACATATTCCCCATTTCCATTCTCAATTTTATTAAATAGTTCTAATATTAAAAGCAAGACCTCGTCTATTTTCTTAAACATGTCAGTCCATAATATATTAAATTCATATATATTTTATAAAATGTTCTGCTTTTTGGATGGGTTGTTGTCTCACGCGTTTTTACTATCAATCTAATTATAAAAGCAATTATTTCATTTGTATTGATGAATTGTTCAAACGTGAGAGGTAAATTACAGAAGTCGTTTTTGGTTCGCCTAGCTTAGTCAATAGTGATCAAGGAACTATTTAACTGAAGGACATGTTAACCTGATTAAAAGTGTAAACTGGACCCTGTTGTGTTCAATTATCGCCACACTAGCGGAGATTTAAGATGTAACATAACTAGTGATACGAGTACCTAGATAACCCGAAAACAGTCGTGAAATTGAACCAGTAAAATATCGTTTCATCTCGGCCTCTAGTAAGTGTTCTACAACTAATCTTTCAGTGCTTTTAACTAGTTCCTTAACTACTATCAAAGAACTTATCATTAACTTTTGTAATAAAATATATGAAAAGTGTAAAACATTCTTTGGATGTTTTAGATAAATTACGTGCTTTTGATGGTCCTTTTGATTCTGTTGACAGTTTTGACTTTTCAACTCTTTACACTACATTTCCACACAATCTTATCAAAGAAAAGTTTTCCTATTTAATTAAATGGTCGTTTGGTAAATCTGAATGCAAATATATTTGCTGCAACTCATTTAAAGCCTTCTTCTCTAATGAGAAAGGAAAATATGCTACATATACTTACTGGAGGTGTGATGAGATGATTGAAGCTGTTAATTTTCTCTTTGATAATATTTATGTACGTTTCGGCAACAAAGTTTATCATGCGACAGGTTGTAGGTATTCCTATGGACACTAATTGCGCCCCTTTAATAGCAGACTTGTTTTTGTACTGTTATGAATCACAGTTTATGACCAAACTCAGGAAAGACCCGTCTAAATTGCATTTAATTTATAAATTCAACAACACTTAAGGTTATCTTAATGACATTCTTTCGTTGAATAATCAAGAATTTTCTAAATATACTGCCGAAATTTACCCAAAGGAACTTACTTTAAATAAATCAAATGTAAACGATAATAACTGTCCTTTCCTAGATTTAGATATTTCAGTTTTACACGGGAAACTCCGCACTAAAATTTACGACAAAAGGGACGATTTTTCGTTCCCTATTGTTAATTTTCCTTTTTTGGATGGTGATGTTCCTTTAGCACCAGCTTACGGTGTTTATATATCACAACTCGTTCGCTATGCCCGTGTCTGTTGTGACGTTTTCGATTTTAATGAACGTAATCTATGTATTACTGGTAAATTATTAAGTCAGGGATTTCGTTACCACAAATTACTTAAAACCTTTACTAAATTCTTCCATAGATATAAAGATTTGGTTTTGAAGTTTGGTTGTTCTTGTAGAAAACTTATTTCAAACGGGATAGCACATCCTCATTTTAACGCAGCTGTTATTTACTTTGTCCGGAAATTTAGAAACGATCCTTGTAAACTTATCGATCATTTAAATAAATTTGTTCTAAAAGGTTACCAATTCCACACTGTAATTAGATCTTTGAATATTGTTTTTATTGGTATTAATGTTGATTTTGTTATCAGTAAATTAAAAGCAAACTAAATATTATTTTTATATACATATGCACATTTATGGATCTACAATATGTCGGTACCTGTATCTTGGCATTACACAAGGTCATGTTTTTCTCTGACTGTTTATGACGTCTGTACACTAAATCCATTGGATGTTGGATGTGTAATGATTGATAATTTAGTCTTAGATGCATGATTTTTTTTATTAGTTGTTATTGGCTTTGAACTAGCTGTCAGTAACTGCGAGTACTCTCAGATCTGTACTTAATGTCTTTTTGTTGTTGGGATGTACAAGTACCCGGCCATGTCCACTCTTTGTTTTTGTTAGATGTATTTATATTTGTATCAATCTGAGGAATTAAGCCTTTTTAAACTGATTTTTATAGTTCGTTCTTATGTTGTACCGTACCACCACTATCCCAGGTTAGGGGGAGGGTTGGGATCCCGCTAACATGTTTAACCCCGCCACATTCTGACTGTGTGTGCCTGTCCCAAGTCAGGAGCATGTAATTCAGTGGTTGTCGTTTGTTAATGTGTTACATTTTTGTTTTTCGTTCATTATTTTGTTCATAAATTAGGCCGTTAGTTTTCTCGTTTGAATTGTTTTACATTTGTCATTTCGGGGCATTTTATAGCTGATTATGCGGTATGGGCTTTGCTCATTGTTGAAGGCCGTGTCATTTGGTCTCTTGTGAAGAGTTGTCTCATTTGCAATCATACCACATCTTCTTTTTTATATGCATTGCAAATGTAATTTCTTTTTTATGCCCCCGCCGTAGCGGAGGGGGCATTAAGTTTTATCCTTGTCCGTCTGTACGTACGTACGTCCGTACGTACGTACGTCCCAAAGTTGGTTTCCGTTTTCTAACTTTAGTTTGCCTCAACCAAATGTTATGAAACTTATACAAAATGCTTATTACCACTAAATACAGATCAAGTTTGAATTTTGGTGGCGTCACTTATACTGTTCTAGAGTTATGCCCCTTTATAAATGGAAAAATTGCTAAATTTTTCGTTTCCGTTCTTTAACTGAAGTTTGCCTCAACCAAATGTTATGAAACTTTTACACAATGCTTACTACCATAATATACAGATCAAGTTTGAATTTTGGTGCCGTCACTTTTACTGTTCTAGAGTTATGCCCTTTACAAATGGAAAAATTGCTAAATTTTTTCATTTTTTTTCTAAATATCAAGTTATTTTTAAAATTGGAGTTATCTTCCTTTGTCCATGATTATAGTTGAATCAACTACAATCAATGCTTTATACAATGCAATGTTTAATTTTGCCTTCCACTGATAAATTAAAGCAATGTTTACCCTTCATTTCTAAAAATATTTTAAAGTCTTCTTTGAAAATTGAGTTATCTTTCTTTGTGCATAATGGTAGTTGAATCAACTACAACCAATGCTTTATACAATGCAATATTCAATTTTACTTCCTACTGATAAATTATAGCAATCTTTACCATTCAGTGCTTACAAGCACTTTGATTACCATTCTAGGGTTATGCCCCTTTACAAATGAAAAAAATTGCTGAATATTTCGTTTCCGTTCTCTAACTTGAGTTTGTCTTAACTATATGTAATTTCTAAAAATATCAATGTCATTATTCAAGTAATTTTTAAAATTTTAGTTCTCTTCCTTTGTCCATGATTATAGTTGAATCAACTACAATCAATGCTTTATACAATGCAATGTTTAATTTTGCCTTCCACTGATAAAACACAGATCAAGTTGAATTTGGGTAGTGTCACTTTAACCATTATTGAGTTATGACCCTTTATAAATCGAAACATTGCAAAATTTTTAGTTTCCATTCTGTAACTTAAGTTTGCCCCAACCAAAAATTATGAAACCTATACACAATATTCATTACCACAAAACTAAGATCAAGTACATTTTTTTTGTTTCCGTTCTCTAACTTTAGTTCGCCTCAACCAAATGTTATGAAATTATACACAATGCTTATTAATACATAATACAGATTAAGTACTAAATGTGGCGTCACTTTTACCATTCTTGAGTTATGTTCCTTTATAAACATAAAAATTGCTGAATTTTTAGTTCCTGTTCTCTATTTAAGTTAGCCTCAGCCAAATGTTATGAGACTTACACACAATGCTTATTACCACAAAACTCAGATCAAGTTCAAATTTGCGTAGCGTCACTTTTACTTTTCTTCAGTTATGTCCCTTTATAACTATATGATATGCAAGCGGGGGCATCATCTGTGTCCACATGTGGACACAATCCACATTTATTTTATCATAAATCACTTGAAAAGACCACTTAAAATACGGTTCTTGTGTGGAAAAAAACAGTTTAGGCTTGTGAGCTTGTTTTCTGAATATCTAGGTACCCAATCCTCAAGGTAACCTTTGACTGGTATACATACATCATCAAATAAGGAAATCCCTGCGTAAACAGATATTCAATTTTTTTTCTGATATATATTTCTCACAAAAAAAAAACATTTTGATATTACAAATAACTGTTCTTCAGAAAAAAATCTTTATATCGCCTTGGTTGTCTCGTGGTAGCGTGTTCGCCTCGATTGCGGGAGGTCGTGGGTTCGAACCACGGCCGGGTCAAACAAAATACTTTAAAATTTGTATTTGAAGCTTCTCCGCTAAGCACGCGGCATTAAGGAGTAAAAGCAAAGCCGTGTCTCGTCCTGAATATGCATATTTAATTTTCCGCTGGAAGTTAAGCAGCCATCATCATCATCATCATCATCATCATCATCAAAAATTATTTCCATGAAATTTCATTGATAATATTAACACATATAATAGATAATGAGTGTTATTATGCGCTCGACAACGCCAGCGTCTTAACAATAAAATGTTTTAACATCAAAACAGTCGAAGAAATTGTCCCATAGCATGACTTCGGATTTCATCCTGCGTAAAAAAAACAATAGAATTTAAAGATATTATAATGACCAATCTAACATGGTTTTTAAAAAGTACAGAGAGTGCATTTCTTTCTAACACAAACGATGCAAACGGCTAAGCGCGCACATGTTTTGATCATTTGTTTCTAACATACGTTTGCAAAGTTTACATAAACTATGCACTCGCTAAATATGCGTCTACAGTTTCTCGTTCATCGTTTGTTAGTAAAAACGCTACATTTGTTTCTAACTTCAACCGGCTTGAATTTTATTAAAATAAAGAAAACATTGGAACAATCTGCAAAAAGACAAACAATGCAGTGAAATCTTCACCCTTAGTAGTGCCTATAATAGCGTATACACGTAACAAAAATATAAAAGAATAACTTGCTAAATCACGGCAATAGTTGGGAGACTTTTGAAAAGGGACCCATGATTTACTACAGTATAAGCAAATATTCCCAAAACACTGCATGTTAGTATTA